GGCGCGGAGTGCGCCTGAACGAAACGGCGGCGCTGCACATGCGCACATTACGCTCCCCCCCGGCGCTGCGTGCGCCTGCACCGCTGTTGTTGCTGCAGCGGGCTGCACATACGCCCGCGACGGTGACGCTGCCTGCGCCTGCGCGGTAAAGAAGCGCTCCGCGCACGACGACCCCTGGCGCTGCGCGCGCCCGCCTGCGCTGATGCTGCTGCAACAACGTCGCCCCCAAGGGCTGACGTTGGCGCTGCATGCGCTCGCGCTGCTGCTGCAGCTGCCTGCACATACGCCCGCGACGGTGACGCTGCCTGCGCCTGCGCGGCAAAGAAACGCTCCGCGCGAATTACAAAGCCCCTGGCGCCGCATGCGCCCGCCTGCGCTGCTGCTGCAACAACATCGCCCCCAAGGGGTGACGTTGGCGCTGCCTGCGCCTGCGCTGCTGCTGCCGCAGGGGCAGCTCCAACCGCTGGCGCCGCTGCTCCCGCAAGCTCCCCGGCACTCGGCTGTGCTGCCGGCTTTGCCCGCTCGACGGGCAACGCTGCGGATGACTGGCTGTCTCTTTCCTCATCGCTGCCGATCTCGCCTTCCTCTAGCGCGCGTTTACCAGCGATCCCGCGCAGGCGCTGCGCCCGCCGCGGCCGCTGCGGCGGCTGGGCAGCGCGGCGGCCCCGGCTGCGGAACTGTCGCCTCAGCGCTGCGCTCTGCTCCCCGTAATTGGACGCGGTGAACGCGCCAAACCGCCGGCGCGCCAGCTCTTTCTTTACCGCCGGCGGCAGAAACTTCGCGGGCTCGGGCGCGCCCTGTGCCGCCAGCAGCGGCATCGCGCGGCGCCGCGCGCCCGCTGCGACCTCCTGCGCGGCTGGCGTATCCCACCAAGCTTTGACCCCTTCGAATCGCAGGGGGGCTGGCAAGCTGGCCACGGCCTCGTGAAACACTTCGTGCATGTACAGACGGACGAAACCCTGCTGCTCACGTCTGGTTCCAGCGTATCGCAACGGCATCATGTTCGGGGCGCCGGTGCTTCCGCCACCATCGCGGGGCGTCCAGCCCCCGCCAACAACGCGCTCTGTCCACGGAAGCTGCACGCTTTCCGCCAACGTCGGCATGAAACGCCTCAGGCTGTACGACGTGATCAGTTTCCTCTCGAGCGGTGAATTCAGACAAAGGCCGATCTCAGACTGCAGAAACTTTGAGAAGTGCGCGAGACGCCAGAGCTGCCCCGTATCCTCGTGCGCCGCGAGGCCCCTTGGCAGGGGGGCGCCTTCGCCGGCAGCCCCTGCGCGCTTATGCCACGCGTCCCAGAGCACATCCGCTGCGCAACGCGGCTCCGCGGTCCGCACCAGGCACCAATCGAAACATCCGCCGCGCTTTCCGCGGTAACATCTGAACCAGGCCAGCGCTCTCGTCCTTTCAATCGGGTACGACCGTGACAAATGCTGGAATCTCAGCCACCCGTGGCACAGCGCGATCGCTGCAGCGGCGGGAACCTCGAGCCAACCGCGCTGCGCTGCCTGTGCGGCAAGTATCTGATGCAGGAACGATACCATGCACGGCTCGAGCACGGTCGCTTGCCGCAACTCTCCCCCCGCTTTGCTCGCGGGCCGCGCGTCTGGCTTCATCGCGTCTTCGAGCGCGAACGGCGCACCGAGATACTTCTGCAGCCACTTCAACCGATTCCACACGCGCACCCCGGAGGCTTGTTCACCGCACATATGACATATGAACTCGTCCACCATCAGTGTGCTGCCAGCAGCCTCCGCGGAGAGGGGCTCGAGCTGCCGTGCTCGGGCCCACGCCTCCCATCTCGCCCAGACGCGCAGCGCGTCCCGGACCCCCGCGCTCGCGAAGCGCGCCAGCCTCTTCGCCGCCGCGGACCCGGGTCCGCACAAGCGCTGCGCCTGGCCCTCGGGGAGCCCCCGCGCCAAGCCGTGCGCTGGGCCCCAGGACGCGGACAGCTGCACCGCTGCCCCGGCCGCGCTGGCGCGCTGCGCGGCGTCCGCCTCCTCTGTGCCGGAGGCGCTCGCCGCCGCGCGCTGCACGCCGCGCCCCCCTCTTGGCGGGCGCAAGCCAGGGAGGGCCATCGCCAGCGCGCGTGGCGGAGCGTCCGCCTTGCGCGCGGGCGGCGCTGACTGCGCCTCGCGGGCCACCCTGTGCCACGCTGCCACTCGCGGATGCCCCGCGAGCTGCCGAGCTCGCCGCCGCGCCTCCTCCTGTCCCGAGGCCGCGGCTGCCTCCACCGTGGTAAAGAAAAATGCCAGGTCGTCGACGTCCTCGATGCCTACCTCCCTGACGAAACACCAGAAGCGAGCGCGCGCGTCGACCGGCAACGCACTCCCTATGGCGGCCAATCCACATTCGCCTGCCATCGCCACCGCCAAGCAAATGGATGCGAAGCGCAAAAGACAGCAGAGAAATCCGAGAAAAATCAAATCGCAAGGCGAGCGCGGCCACCGCGGCCCGTCGCCCCCCCTTCCTCGCAGCCCCTCGGCGCGGGCAGCGAAGG